TGCTGATCATAGGAGAGCTTCCAAAAAGAGAAGCCTCTGTAAAATATTCTCAGTTCCTACTTACTCTTCAGCCTGTGCTATCTTTTAGTACAAAAACCACCTACAATTACAGCAGTTTCTATGAATGTGTCATTTGTGAGCCGGTTTCAAACGTGCACTGCACTGCTGTGAAGTGCTCCTGCAGTAACCTGCCTTGTTCTCCCCACGAGATGTTAGCCAATATATATTCACTGGTTTTCCTGCCTGGAATTTTCTTGTAATATTTCCAAGAAATGAAGAAACGTGCTCAATGAATTAAGACTGTATGTTGTAATGTTTTTAAGTGGGTTGAAGAAGAATATTTATGGCTTTCATTTGGATCAATTTTAAATATAAAGCTAAATAAAAGAAAAATAAATAATTTGATGGTAACAACGAGATAGCCAAAGATCTTTTAATCAATTTGTTAAAGTTTATCCCCAAATGCCCAGGAGATAATTCTTAGCCAAAAATATAATAGATAACTAAGTGCTCTATCTAATAATTTTGAATCTCCCTGTCTAAACCCTAGACTTCCTAAAATATACCCAAGTTTATAGGACACAGAAATCTCAAAATTAACCTGCTCTTTTAAAAAATCATGTAGCATATATACCTTCAGAGCATCAGAAAAATGCAAATTTCACCAGTTTGTGAAATATGTCTTACTTTATTTAAAACATTCCAATCACCATCTAGGAATTTCCAAACCTAAAAGTCAGACTTATGCTTTCTTTTTTCAAACTTACAAACTCAAGGAATACTGAAGTATTCTCCCTTCCTACCTCTCAGCCATCCTCTCTCAATTGCCCTGAATTTCAAAGACAGAAGTATATAAAAAGTGGATAGAAAAACACAAAAGGTTTTTAAATTAATTGTTTTTTTCTACCAGTCACCAACTGTACTTTTTTTGCAGACAGGTTTTTTTGTTTTATTTTGTAATTTTAGTGCTAAACATCATACCTGTCAATCCAGCCAAAGCTGTAATGGCTAGAGTCCTGTAACTCAGGACTTTACAAAAGATTGTGCTAAAAATATAATCAGTCAAATGAAATCTTCATATCTAGTCATTTTACTTAAAAGAAATAATCTGCTTAATAAAGCACCAGAGAGGAATCATTTTCTAAATACAGGTTGTGCCGCAGTGCAGCTCTGTGAAAGCCTTCGACTCTTACTGTGCTGCTGTCTCTGTAGAATCCACTCCTGAGAACATGAAAATCAGTGTAACAATCTAGTGTACAGGCAGGGCCTAACAGCGCTGCTAATGTCCCTTTGCTGGACACACACCTTAAGTCTCAGAGCTCTCAAGGGGTTTGCTGTGGAGTAAAATTAGATTCTAACATCTGCCACTATTAAGGAAAAAATTCCATTTCCATCTCCCATATGAAAACACTATAACCAATGAACAGTAACTGAACCTTGATACCATAATGGTTATTACCCAAATCAACTATTTTTTTTAAACAGTAAAATTAGCAAATTTTGCTCTCATAATTATTTGAATGTTATCAGACTAAATGTTTGATAAAATTCCAATATGATTCACTTGGAAAAACTGCTGCTTATTTGAATACCCAGAATATAAAGTATATTCATTTGTAGCTCTTCGCATGTTTAAAGCACATCATCTATTTAAAGTTTGCATTAGCCTGCTTTCTCAACCAAGCAAAGAAGTAGCCTACCTTCAGTTTTCAGTTGCATATTTTATTCAGACAGTTCTATTAGAGGTAAAAAAAAAAAATCTCATTTCTATTATTCATTGAAGAGAATGTAATATACGTGAAATGGTAGAATCTACACAAGTTGGCTTCTTTTACTGAAAATACCTTGTACGTTAGCACTGCAGAGCACTCTAACTTTTAAAAATGGAAGGCATTGGAAATAAATACATGATAAATCACTTATATCAATGTGGAGGACTGAACTTCTTATTTAGCACTTACCAAATACAATCTTGTGCATAGTGCTATATGATCTTAAAATGTTTCTTATACATTATAACACGTGACTTCCTCCTGAATTAAAAGAATCTTAGGTTCAATTTCTTGATATTGTAGTACAAGAGGCATAGCTGATCACCTGTGGCCCTTCAATCACGTATCCTCACTTCTACTAGCCATGAAAATATCTGGATTGCAACAAACCTGGTGTTCAACAAACAAGTCAATGAAGGAAAGAAAGCCCTTGCTGCTACCTTTATCAACTACTCCAATATCATTAAATTCTTCTTCTCCAGAGCAGGTGAAACTTTAGTACTGATGCTGCCTTGAAACCTAAAGAGATTATTAATACAACTTGAGGGATACAATTCAGAGTTGGCTCTACTATTTACTAGCTGAGTGACCCACATGTGTAAGTTGAGGAAATTAACAGGGCTACAAAATAAATGCAGTTAGTACATAATGTGTGAAGGGATCTAGTGGGAAAGAGGTGGTGACTATCAAGCTGACCTAGACAACCCGAGTGAAGACACAGAAGCAGGCAGAGGGAAACGGAAGTGCTCTGCTCGCACTCCAGACAGACTTAACCCCGGTGGAGCACTGCTTCATGCTGACAAGCTCCAACACATATAATCTGGAGACCTAGTTAACTATTCTAGAAATTACAAATTTTGACCATGAGAAATTCAACAAGAAAGGTCAATCTGACTTAAGAGTCTACTTTCATTGATTTGTTAGCTTTTGCTCCTTTCATAACCTAAGAAAAAGACCACTCTTCCTTGTTAGATATCCTGTTAGTGTCATACACAGTTTTTACCTGTCTGAAGTAATCATCAATCTTTGTACATATTTTCATAAGGAGCATAGTGCTTAACATTTAAACTGAACAGCTATGAGAAGACCATAAAAATGCTCTTCTCGGAAGTTGAAATACATTAAAAATCAGGAATGACTATCCAAAAGAATGAAAGCAGTTTGCAGAACCCCACAGTTAGTCCCTTGGATTCTCACTCGACCAGTAATAAGGAGCTTGAAGTTTGGGAATCCTAAGAAACACATTATCATGTGTTAGAAAGTATCCTTTTACAATGTGGAAACAGGGACTTAGGAGAACTGTGAATCACAAAAGTGTTAAAAAACCCTCAGAACATCACTTACATGACAGTATCAGACAACTGCTGGTGTTTTCTAAACAGTTACAAAATCAGTAAATCAGCTCAGAGATGGAAAAATCCAGGGTATCATTCAAAAGCAAAGGTAGCAAAGGACTGTTAGTCATAAAGAGCTGTACTACAATCAAAAGGGAAACTGGGGGAGAGCAGTGGATTAAATGAAAGTGATGGGTAACTGATAGTACTCACTGAAAAGCTTTAATATTAATTTGGGTTTGTTTTGCTTTTAAGGCTGACCTGGATTATCATAATGCATGTCTAATTTTTCCATTTTGGAGATTTGGGGAAAGCGCTTGGCTCTTGTAGGAATGCAGTCTGTTATTCTTGATAATTAGACAGGTCAGGAAAAAAAGATGTAAGATCACGAAGAAAGGCAAGATAATATATATTTAAATAAGAGATTCTCATCATAATTAGACTAAATAGTCAAAACAAGAATGTTCAGGGTGGGTGGGAAAGTGAGAACAGGACATTTCTCCTTAATGCATAGTCTTGGCATGTAAATGAAGACATCTGAAGAAGCACACAGGTTTGAAGCGGCTCTAACATTCTATCATAATTAGAAACATTTCAAGAGCCCTGTAATTTCCAATCAAAATTACAGTAATTTCCGATATACAAGCCATGATTCATGACAGAATTTTACATTCCATGAGAGATTACGGTGGCCTGATGTATGGCACGCTGAGTACAGCACTAACATAAACAATTCAGTTTAATGTTTAAACAGCACTCGATGTTTAGAATCTCACAATAAAAGAAACATATTATTGTAGAAATTATCACTTTGACAGTGATTGAAGGGTAGGCAGGCATGTGGCCTATAAAGCTATAATTTTTACAGTCCACAGCTTGGGTTTAATCATTTTTATATAACATTTCTAAGATATCCCTTAAGTATTTCATCTAGTCTATAACTTAAACAAGAACAACATTTTCCTAAAGTTAAACTCCCATTAAATACCACTATTAATTTTGATCAAGTAAAAGTTTTAAAAAGCTAAAAAGGTTATTGGGTTATAAATACACCCACAATTATATATTTTTTCACAAAATGACAACAGCCAGGATGTTATGTAAAAGAAGATTTACTAATGATAATGAAAATATACTTGTGCACCAATTCAAGTTGTTCAAATCTCACCTGGAGCCCTTGATTGCCTCTAAATCTCACCTTGAAAGTGTTATTAAATCTTTTGCCAAGGTGAAGAAAATTTAGAATTCTTCTGCTCCTTTAAAAAGTATTCTTGGAGAAGGATTTATAGGCAGCTAGGAGTTTGTTCTTACAGACGACTGATTCTACTTTTGATGAACAAAAATTATCAACATATGACAGTTATATGGACAAAGGCTACAGTAATTATCCTTTGCCTTGATAGATTTGCAACTTTTCTGATTAAAGGCCATGCAGTAATTCATCCAAATTGTTCAAGTTTTCTAATAGTAATTCAATTTGAACATCTTGTATCTATGTAAAAACTATCACTATATGCAAAGACGTGTGAAATTTGTTGTAATAACAGGTTCAAACAGAAGAAACTATGTCGTATTTTAGAATGAAAATTATGATTTAAGTCACACGAAAACAAGTAATTTTTTCTATGAAACTTTCTCTACACTGTTATTTTTCTGAAAGCAACTCTTAACTGATTGACAGATAAATCCTTGATCTAGAAGTGGCTGTGAAAAGGAAACAAAACCAAGTGTCTCTGACCTGAAACTGAACACTGTTTATCTGAGAAGTCATACATAACACTAGAGGTTGTGACCCTTCACTAACACAGGTTCATATCAGAGCAGATAGCCCTGTTAATAAAAATTTCACAGGCATCACAGAAAAATACTTTCAATACCTAATAGAGGCTCTTACCTGGCTTTTTGTTGCTGCAACCTTTGCAAACAGTGCTTGGGACACTTTAGCACGCTTCATTTCCTGCTGAATCTCATCATAAATGGAAGCATTAATGTTCATGGTATTGTTCTCTGGTTTCCCATTCCTCTCAGAGGCAATCGTAGCTGTTTTCACCTACAAAACATTTTGAATACAGCTGTCATTTTTCATTGGCCAAATTGTTTTGAAGCTTCTCAGGCTCAGCATCCAAACTGGACACTGTTGCTCCTTTTATGATCAAGGTGATCAACAGTGCAGTCATTCAACATTACTTATTGCCCTGAGATCAGATTGGTTAAGTTAAGAAAGTCACATTGTCACAGGTGATTGCATCTATAATGTGACAGCAACTGCCAGCTGACAACCAGGAATTATAATGTCATAAAGTAAGTTTTCTGGAAAACAGAATAGTTTGAAAGACTTGAAAACCCTAAACTAATTGTCTCCCAATTATCTTCCATTGCAATCCTAACAACGGAAATTCACAATTAAAAACATAATGCACAATGCTGTATCTTCACTGGGTGCCCGGTGCCTGATAGACCACTGCATCACTAATAGCTACTATATAATATGGCCTTTTTAATTTTAGACTCTTTTATGCCTTTTCCTCTTATGCTTCATTTTAAAAATCTTCCATAACAAAGCCATTTGCAGAACTGCATATTTAAATCTTCTATCCATCCATGAAACAGGTAGAGTGCCTTGCTTAATCATCATAAAGCCTGGCTGCATTTTACATGTGCATGTCCAAGCTGTTCTATATAATTATTTCATCTTTTCCTGGCACCTTTGTATACAACTATTTCCTTTTGACTTGTGGAACCAGACAATAAGAAAATGTTTTACAACGTTTAATACAACATTAATGTAACAAAATATATCAGTGACGTCACAAATATAGCCCAAATGTATAATTGTGAAAGATTAGTACTAGCCTTGCATAATCATGAAAAAGTTATCAGCAGAAAAATTTCACAAAATTTTAGTGAGAAAATGAAATCACCCCAAAATTTATTGATAGCAATAGTATTTTTTTTTTAGCACTAGCATTTTTTAACTTTAACTTTTAATTTTTATTATGCAGTTACACAAACTGGCCCTAAATATTACATATCAACTATATAAATCATTTTTTTAATTGAGAAGTTCATGAAAGTGGAAGTGAAAAATTACTAGATTCAGGACCATGCATTTCCTAGCAAAATGACTAAGGAGGAACAATAGAAAATGAAGTGCATTTTATGATAAAAGAGTAATTTTTTTGGTACTGACACATTTACAAGTTTTCCATGTTTTTTTCACTCTATCCTCAAAATATCTGGCAAGAAAATAGCACAGAGGTTACCTCAGAAAATTCAATTCTCAAGAGTAAATTTAAGTCCCCTTTTGTTGCCATCCTTCTGAATTTCTCTAACTTCTAGTCAGAAAAATACTTCACCTCTTGTCCATCTTGAAGAGCATTCTAACATGACATTATCCCTGTAAGCCAGGGAAGGATAAGGCAGTTTGATGGTTGGACCACCAGCCTGAAGACTACATCACCTAGACATGGATGACAAGAATCTAGGTTACATTGCCAGAGTTCCCTTTTCATCTCTAGGAGTCCAGTAAAGCAGGGGCACTCAATATTCATGACAAGGCCACTGCGAAGTGCGCTTTGAAGCAATTATCTTCTAAACATCACTTTAGAAGCCAGAAGAATTAATGCATTACCATAAATTGCCTACAAAGTCAGCTATGGTGAGATTTGAAATCTTGCTCTGGGGTGGTCTTGCCGTGAGGTAAAGGGATATATCTGATCACCCCATGGGGTCTCTTTTAATACCTATTTTCTCACTGCTTAAATGAAAGAAAAAGAAAAGTCATTTCAATTGCTTTGAAAATTGAATGTTATGTTAATTGAGGAATAAAGTCCAGGGCCTTGAAAGAAACAGTTCCTGAGTAGCAATCTACTTCGTAATAGTTAAGATCAGATTTGCAAAACTGTTGTGATCTGTTTTTAAAACAATTTTTATTCTTCTGTAAAAATTACATTGGAAAATTTATCATTGTAGTGGGCTACAATCATTTGTTTCAAGCCTGGGATTCTGTTTCTAAAAATTTCTTTAATTTTTTTAATAAAACAAATACAACTTGAACAAGCTAAAAATTCTAAATTAAAAAAAATTTAAATATGTTTTCTAAGTGGCAATGCAAACCAAGTGGAAAACACACATGAAACATTAGCAAAAAAAAAAAAAAAAAAAAAAAAAAAAGTATCTGTCCAGATTACTCACTTAAAAAATATTTAGAAAAGTTCTTCTTTCTCATCTTCCTGGCCCAGATATGCATCTTATCATAGATAAGCTATTAGATTTCTGGAATTACATCTCCCTCCCTGCAAACTCAAGCTATTGCTTAAGGGTAACTGACTTGGACAGCTTTTCAAAATATGAAAGCTGACTTTTTCCCCAGGTAAAAATGGAAACAAAAATCTTTTATACTTCACTCTACTAAGTATTATTTTAGCTTAGTACAAAAAAAACCCTCTTTAATCTGGGTTTAGCTTTTAATATTATATCACACATTAAAATTCATAAAGTAGTTCATTCCAGGCAAAACAAACTACTCTTCAGCTCTTCTCCACAAATAGCACAGGAGGTAAAATAAATGCAGTTGCTTTCTGAATAGCTTTTATCAAGGTGAGGTGTACTACTCCGTTATTACTGCGGCGCCAGGGAAGTAGTTAAGATTGGGAGCTTCTGCGATTTACCCTCTCTTACAGGGGTGGGTGCAGCACTGGGGACTGCTTTTTATTTCACTGAAATTGTCCAGTAGAACACACATTTCCCATAAAAAAGTATTTTGCTTTTTCATGGATTGCTAAATTCATCAAATCACGTTTTCAAGGTTACACAAACAAACTGTCCTTTGGCACTGATTGGTGAATGTGCCCCTCTCTGATGCAGGAAGAACTGCCTGCAAGCACACAGCTCTTACATATACAAAATTAAGTTTTTATGTACTTCTAATAATTATGATAATAAAGGTTGACATTTATTAGTTGGTTATTATGTGTTGGGCATTCTGTAAATGTATAATATTAACTTAACCTCATAATAGCCCAGAATAGGTACTATTTTTAAGTTGAAAAAGAAATTTTGTCTTAACAAAGATTAATTTCTTCATGGCTCAAGGTTAAGACTGTAAGTTTGTCTAAAGCTCATTCTTAGAGATCGCAGAGTTGCATGGAATTCATGTTGTGAGGGCTTTTTCAGAAACATTTTATGTTAACCCGCTTTTTGGTGGCTCTTTGCTAAATCTAATTAGCAGTTTCATAATTGATGCTACATATCAACTTAATTTTTCAAGTTATGGAAACCATAAACTTTTTTGTTTTGTTCCACTTTATTTTTGAGACAGGTTCTCACTTAGGCAGGTCTTGAAACTCATTATACAGCCCAATCTAATTTGCTGTGTTTCTTTTGCCTCATCCTCCAGAGTGCTGGGATTACAGGTATGTACCACCACGCATGGTTACAAGTGTTTTCCCAGTCCAGTTGTTTAAGAAATGTGTGATTCTGTGGGATGCTTATTGGTAATAAAATATAGTCCTGCTCTTAAATTTTTATATATTTAAAACTATCTTTAATAACATGGTTTGATCTTTTTAGACGTTCTTTATTCTGCAGAAACATTATTTTCCAAATATAGACTTTAAAGGTCTTTTAGTTTTTAAGAAACGACTATTTATGAGAAGCATTTTACAAATATGATCTTAATGTTTTCCATAACAAACATTTCATCAAAGGTTAAATTCATGATTATAACTACAGCTGAAATCAAAAGAGCCTACAGTTTTTTACACAGGGATTTGTTGTAGAGATACCACAGTGCAGCTACCAGCCCATATATATATATATATATATATATATATATATATATATATATATATATATGCTTAGAAATGCTTAGAAAATGTCTATATATATATATATATATATATATATATGTATAAACTTTGGACATTTTCTAAGCATTGTTATAAATATCAAACCTTACTTTAGAAGCAACTAAAGAATCATACAGCAATGTAACAAATAAATTATGTAATTCATGTAAAAGTTGTAACTTGATAATTATATGCTTTCAAAGAGTCTTTACGAAAATGGAACTTACACAATTGACTCCAAAGTCACATGTATAAAAATACACAAATAGAAACTATAATAATAACAAGTAGAACTATAACTATAATAATAACAGGTAGAAATTCTCAAATTAAAATTGACTTTGCTATGGAAAAAAATCATTAAAAGAAAAAATAATCACTCATTATTATTAATAGAATTCTTCTAGTAAACCCATAAGGCAAATTTGTAAAGCATGGTGAGAAAAGAAACTTTCAAGGTCCTGTAAGTTTGAGGGGACTGGGAGCTCCTGGGTATTTTCCTATTATTGCAGTTTGGAAGGAATATTTTCTCCACAACATCAGAACCCCACTGTTCAAGCGCTTTCCATGTGGATCACTTGTCAAACATTTCATTTATTCCACCAGGTCAATGTTTTCTGGTATGTTCCTTTTTCTTAGCTAACTATATAATCTCATATGACAAAGTCCCCAGGCTTCATTTTCCCCTTTCAAAAATAAGTTGTCTGTATTTTGATGAAGTGGTCTGAGGTAAAGAAAAGAACTAAAAGGACTTACTAGGGGATTTGACAACTTGAATTCAAACTTACATTAGAGCTCCTGATTTTTCTCTTACCAAAAGGTTGGCATGAGTCAACAAATTAATACAGGTGAAGGTGTTTAGAAAACTGTGAATCACTTTCAAGAGGGGACATTCTTATTTCTTGAATTAGAACCTATAGATTGTGAAAATACACTTTCACCATCAGGTCTGGTCCAGAGCTACTGCCCCAGGCAGAGCACGAAGTCTGTAGCGTGACTGCCCCAAATGGAGGGCAAGGGGCAGTCATGTACACAGGTTCCAAGCATCTGCCGCTTCCTGAGGCTTGTCTAAGACTCCCCAAGTGAGGTATCTGTAAGATCTCTACCTGAAACTCCCCCTTCCCAAGGGACGTTCTTAGAGATTTAAGTCCCTCTGGAATCCAAGACTCTAGCAGTTCAGCTCCTTGGTCTGATATGGCCCCAGGCACTTTCTAAATTCATCCAGCACCCCCTAAGGAGCTGGAAGAAAATCTAGCCTCTCAGGAGTAAAGGTGGCTTAGATCTTCTGTGAGCCACTGAACTGCAATTCTTCAATCTGTAATTCTCTAGAAAAAAATTAGGGTTTAGGCTAATTCAAGCCCAAAGTTGTCTCAAAATAACTTTCAAACCTCTTCATTGTGTGTAAAATAAAATGCACAGTGATTTTACATAGACTCTTCTTGGGAAAACACAAAATTAAATTTGCACTATTTTTTTGTATCTGTGATTTATTCCATTTTCCTCTCCCTTTTTAGCCATATTAAAACCCTCTTAATGCAATGCATTGGCTCCAGTTTAAGAGTTCAATTTCAGCTGCTGTAAAACAGTATAAATTCAGTTGTGCTATGCATGTTTGTTCCAAAGCTAAAGTACTCATACCTTTAATATAACAAGAATTCCTGTTGATAAATTTTTCTTTTTGGTTTTGAGACAGCGTTTCACTATGCAAGTTCAGGCTGGCCTTGAACTCACTTTGAAGCCCAGGCTGGCCTCAAATTCATAGTAATTCTCCTGCTTCAGCCTCCCAAGTTCTGGGATTATAGCCATATGCCACCAGATCCCACAAGAATTTCTCAACATTTAACTCAATCACTAATAATGGATAAAGTGTAAACAGTTTGGTAGTGAGCTTTACTATAATATTGAGTAACACAAAGGGATTCTTTGAGAAGCAAGGAAGATACCTTAAAGATGTGTATAAAACAAAATTATGCATATATGTATCAGCCTATTATTTCACAATTTAGTTAAATGGCCAGTAATACTACATTGATGGAAGCATTTCCTTTGAAAGGTCACTAAAAATCTAGTGTATTTCCATAATACATTCATCAGTGACTTATTAATAGTACAGCTTAAAAGCTTGGTTTTGAGTCTATATTTTTGACAATACTGGGAATGGAACAGAGTCTTGTGCATGCTAAACAACTGCTCATTATGCTACATCCTCAGTGTATTTGTCTTGAGAACAAACAAATTCACTGTACAACTAGGGTGGCTTAACTAGGTAATTGATAAGTCAGGCCAAAATACAAATATTTTCTACCTCCACTTTCTACAGCAGATAATGCCTTCATACATACACACAGAAAAGCACTGTAGTATCTTAAGAGTGCATAAAACAAGTATCATTTAATAAGAATTAGTGTCATTTTGGCTAAACAAAGTGAACGAGTATCATAATTACATTTGGAAAAAAAATCCAAAATCCTATAGAGAAATATGAAAACAAAAGCTGTACTAAGAAATCACCCCGTCAGATATTTTGGCAGATTTTTTCTAAAAAGGGGGTGTTCAGTGTTGAATTGTATTCCTTTTGAGTAAGCCATTCTTTCATTACAATTGCAGAACAAGCGATAAGCAAAATAACTGCCCAGAAGCTAGTGAGAGGACTACAGAGCAATGGTAACTCATTATAGTGTGTGCATTAACTCCAAACTTGCAAAATAAGTGTTAAACCAAGGCCAAGGAGGAAGATTTCTAATCATTCTGACAAAAATGATATGTATATGTAAATGTTTACAACTACAGAGTTTTTCTTAGAAAGTTATTTTAAATAAGGGTTTACTAAAGATCAGCCTGATTGTGTATGTGGCATACACCAAAGCAGGTGGCTGTGTGTGTCTGTGTATGCAGTTGCTACTCTCCGTCTCCACTACAGAAACAGGACTTCTTATTCACAACTTCAGCAATGACTTCCTTATAGTCTGCTCCCACAGGTATCAAGACTAGAAAAAGTTTTAAGAGCCGCAACAAGTGGCTGGATAGTATATCTATTTCTCATTTATGGAGAGCCTATAGGAGTTGCATCTTTACTGTTAAATAGGCTTTTGCTAGATTTTTATATTTAGAAATACACGCTTTTTGCTTTTTTGAACTACTGACGAAAAAATAAAATTCAATGCATAGTTTCATAACACTATATGTTATATGAATACTTGACTTTGTGTTTCATATTCAACTTTTATTCATTTTAGTTGACCTTACTTTTAAGGGCTGGGCAAGCCAAAGATTAAACATGTAGAAAACAGATGAGCCTCACCCTCAATTTTTCTCTAATAGTTTGTACTACATAATTTATTGAATTCTTAAGAGTAATTACAAGGCTATACATTGTTATTGTTATCTTATAGTTACTTGTTTTGTTTTTCCCTCTAATTCAGAAAGGATAGATGTATATTTATATATAGGCTTATAAATGCCTATAACTACACCTGAAGAGTTTACAAGAATTGATTTTAGTATGTGTGATGGTGTGAACAGCTACACTGAAGAAAACAAGACACCATGGTAGCCACTGATTACTTCCTATCATTTTGTTTTGAAGTCCAATAATGCTTTTATTCTTGGCTTTGATTGGCTTTAATCTGTTTTCAATTATTTGATTTCAGTATGTATGAAGGGTATGGACAGCTATTTTGATGAAAACAAGAGACATTATGGTAGCCATTACTGATTTCCTAGTGTCTGGTTTTGAAAGTCCTTAAGGCTCTCATTCTTGTGTTTTGGTTGCTTTTATACTATTTTGATTTATATTAATTTATTATGTGTGAAGGTATGGACAGGTATTTTGAAGAAAGTAAGAGACATCACGGTAGCCACTATTAATTTCCTGTTGTCATTTTCTGAAATCCTGTGTTGTTTTCATTGTTTTACACTGCTCTGCTTTGTTGTTTTGCTTTGTTTTATTCTCTTTAAAATAAAAAAAAAAATTGTAAGGTTACTTCTAAACTTGACTTTTTAAAATAATACTACAATAGGAAGCACAGAGATAAATGTGCAAATGAGAAAAGGGTAAGAGATGGAAGGAAAACAGAGAGGGAGGGGAAAGGAACATAAAAGGAATTAAGATGTGCTGTATACATGGACCAAGTCCCCACCATGCATGCACTCATTATGTACTATGAACATGTACTAACAAAAATAAAAATTAAATAACAACACAAATGGACAGCTACAAAATAACTTGGAAGGTAATGTTTTTCTCTCCTAAAAAGTGACCAAAAACTTAAAAACAGAAAATGTGCCCATTTCTGGGAATATGGACTGAATTCCTTATCAGCCCCATTTAAAGCTGCCTTTAAGGATTGTTTTAAACTTAATTATGAAAGATTACAAATGAGAAGACGTGTAATTGGTACCAGCTGCAGTTCGCATTGGAAAGCATAAATACAAATGGAATTGCTTATTTATTTTTATTTACTATTCAAATGGCAGTTCTAAAACTAGTAGGCATAAAACTGACCTTTTTTTCCTTAGAGTTTAATATACTTTTTATTTAACATTAGTAGTAGAAGTAAATATCCCACTTAAAGATTCTTTTCACCCCCAAAAACCCAAAGAATGGAGCAGCACAAAGCAATTTTTTTTTTCTTGCTAATTAGTAGCTTATTGTTTTCATATCAGAACTAGTGATTTGGGATGAAATTTTCCTCAAGCAACTCTATGAATTTTTAAAAATTTGTATCTATCTAGTTTCTTGCTGAAATCCTTTTTTAAAAGAAAGTCAGTCAGTTAGTCTAGGAAAAGAAGAGACTGCACCTGGGGAGGGCGGCTGGGAGGTGTGCTTATCAGGGGAGCTGGACCCATGGCCGAGGCAGCATTCAAGCTCCTTTCCCTTTCATCCTGGTATATTCTGTCTCTTTCAGCTTCTGGTAATTGCAAGAAATTCTGCATAGCCCGAAGGTTTACCAGCAAAGACTGGGATGCAGTCTTGGGGTCCTCTTCCTTCCGGAGGATTTCCGAAAGCAAGCCCTGCAGGAAGGAAAGGCACATGGTGAGTTTGCTCCTGGGCTCTGGCCAGCCCCAGGTGATCTCTTCCCCTCTTCTACTCTGCTTGGAGAATTAACAGTCAGAAGTATTAGTTCTGCATAGGAATATATTAGTTACAATTGGAGTGAAGAAGAGCACACCTCAATTGTATTCTTAATTTTATTAAGCATCTGCTTTACACACAACATAAACTGAAACTGCCTAAATGGTCTCCTTCCTTTAAGCAGCTTAACTTGCCATAAAATCCTTCGCAGACAGACGATGGAGGGAAGTTAAGAATAAATGAAATCCTCATAATACACTAGCATCGGACTTTATAGTTCTCAACCTGCCTAGACAAAGACAGTGGAATGCCAGTAGCTTAGTATAGAAAAATAATAGAAAAGTAATAGCTTAGTATAAAAAGTTGTATGTAAAGCAGAAGGTAGAACTTTTAAAGAAAACACCAGAAAATGAACTGCAACACATTAGGGGGAAAATCAGAATTACTATTTCATCATCTGAGAATTATGTGAATTTTTACAGGCAATGTTTTAAGTTACTCTTTAATCTTCAAATTGCCAAAGTAAACGACACCAGGTAGCCCTTTCAATTTGCCATTTCAAGGAACCACTGACTATCCCAAAAGATTCTAAATACAACTTTGCTATATTATAACCACTAGCTAACAAGTTAAAATTTTGGACTTCGATCAAATTTGAAAAACATAATCACTTTTATATTACAAAAATCCATCATGATATTTTCTCGAATATTATCCAGAATTATTATCACTAATTACCAAATCTCTTAAGAAATAAAAAGCATTATTAGTAACAGAAGAAATTTACACTACTGGAAACTCTTTGAAGGTGTCTTTCTTCCCCCAAATTATAGGACACTACTGTTCAACTGTTTCACTTTTGGAAGAACTCTTTAAAACTGTTTTATTCCCAATTTGTTTATGGGATAACGTGAAACAAAAATACTAAACTGATAACTTCATAAGGGCTGAGCAGCCTGTGACTCTTTCATCTTGGACATGGAATAATGCTTGAAATATCAAAATGCATTTGCTTTCTTTATTTAGCCAGATTATCAGCTTCTCATAGTACAGCCAAGAATACAATCTCATCAAAATTAGTACGTAATTTTCAAATTCACCTTCCAAATAACCCTCCAGAATGAAGGATAGTAAGATGTCAAAATAGTGGAGTAATACAAACTGAGGTTTGTGCCCAATTCCTCAAGATAATGTACTACATTGCTTAAATAGAACAGTTGGGTGCAGATAGGGTAAAAGCACGGTCCACTTTGTAAATGATTTATAAGCTAGTTTTCAAGAACTTCCAGCAGTCTCTGGGGCCTTCACAGAATCAATTTTAAAGAAACCTCTCACGTGATCTATTGCAATCACAGCCTGGAAACAGGCCCTGAACTTTCAGTTTCAACTTAGAAATGTGACTGAAAAATGAGGGGCACAGGTCCTTTTATTCATGTTAACAGTGAGTAATGTTCCAACTTTATCTACACAGGAACAAAACAACTCCAGTCAATTTAACTAAAATTCAGTCACACAGGTAGTCAATCATCCAGCTATTTAATTCGCACAATGCCAACAAATTAGATTCAAGAATTTCTGATGTGTCATACTGAAACCAAAATACATGTTACACACAAACACACGCACCACAATTATAAAGGAAAATCTGAAAAGTGGTATATTAACAGAGCCCTTCCTCACCAAGTGTTATGTCTTTTTAAATGTCCTTGGCAAAGCAACCTATCTCAACTACACAGGAATAGGGATGCAAACTCAGTACACATAAATACAATGTTATAAATTCCTTAAATATAAAATTCAGTATTGTCATCCCAGCACAATGCTTGACACCTAAGTATTTGATAAATATTTACTCAACTGATGATGCTTATACATATCACAAAGAAATTCAAATAGGCAATAAAAACATGAACAAAACCCAATGGGTAAATTCTAATGGTAATTACTCTTACTGGAGTGGACCTTCACTGAAAAGTTATGTGGCACTCTTCGAGATGTTATCTACACAATTGTTCAGTAATTTTAAAAAAAGGTTAGGGAAAAAGATAACCTATAGGTATTAAGGAGAAATATCTGAAATTAGATATTTAAAATTTTAAATAGCAAAGTAATATATCACATATTTCTTCCTTAAGTAGCAGAGCTACCGAGAAAAATGAAACACATGGAAAAACACCTAATTGTCTCTTGAGTCTTGCTAATGTGAACCTAAGACATTTTGCTATAGATTAAGATAGAAGAAAACATGTCCTTTGGGAGAGAATTTAGAAAATTCTTTACCCACTGCCTGTATTTTGAAGTGCCTTCCCATTTAAGCACACAAGTGTTACAGGGCAAAGTATTTTATTTCCACTTAAATTAATTATCCTACAGGAACAAGAGCAGTTTTTCTGCCTGGAATATGCTAATAGTCTGATGCAATGTTTTAAATTTATGAACATCCAAGATCTAAAACAGCCAGTGTAGACAATCCCGTGTTAAAATTTTTTTTTTTCCCAGAGCTTTCAATGAGGGGAGTGCCCCCTGGTGGAAATGCTTAAAAATATTCTTAGAAAATGTTCTGATTAATGTTAATTATCCTAAATAAATAAATAAATAAATATCACTTTAGAGTAACTAGATGCAAAATAATTATCAGAATTAAGATACAGAATGCATGTTTTGTTCCCATTTCAGATCCTTGTTATTTAAATTGATGTGTCCGTGGACTCGAACCTTTTGTGGCCCTTATCTCCCGGTTTCTATAGTTTAAAACAGTACAGATTTGCCAGGTTAGGACCAGATCTTGCGTGGTAATTCCCCATAGCTGACTGACAGAAGGCTCTCACACCAGAAATCCTTCATACTAACAAAGAAGACAGACAAGGCCTCGTATGTCTCATTTGTTATACCAGAATTATGCTGATACTAGGATTAACATGTCAACGTGGTGTGCCACAGGTACTCAATAAATTTGCTGAGCTAAATTAAGCCAAACTCATGGTTTTGTCTCTAAAAAGAACTTGAGAAGTTGTAATATTATGTAAGAAGTTATAGCAATTAATTTTATTACAAATGAGTAGCTGTCGTTCACTGGAACATCACATCTTACAGATAATTAGATGTGTGTTGTATATATGAAAGCATAAAACTATTCTACATTGTTGTTACATAGTGGTTAAATGAGAATCCTAATTCTTCTCAATTAAAGAATAAATACACTGATAAATTCCTAATCTTGTTTTTTACATTCCAACGAGACTTTTTAAGTTATAAACGAGTAAAATTCATAATGAAAAATCTTCAATAAATAGGATCAGTACTTCCAAAAGCTAATAATGAATTTGTTAAAATGGCAGATAAGCAAAAGAAACTTCCAATCTGAACAAAAAGCCTTTCTGGCTTGTTTGTCTCCTCTTTAAACATAATCGCTCATTCAAACAGATTGTATCAGCTTCAGCTTCATGGAACTTCAAAGCCCTCAGAAAGAAAATATAACTTGATGAAACCTTCCTCATAAAAAAGAAAATACACAGAATATTCTTCAGCACTACCTGCCTGTGTTGTTTGCTGAATTTTTCATCACACTTCCAGGTGAAAGACTACTTTCAAACTCCACCTACTCCTTAAACTCTTACCCATGTAAGTTATAAGTAGACGCATTTATCTCTGTCCTTTAGTAGGCTGAGAGCTGTCATGTTGGGGTAATAGCACCTTTTTACCTTTTATTCAATAGTGATATGGATAGTGAACTTTTCTTAAATTACACTGCGAAGAATTATAGGAATACAGTAGCAATTTCTGTTATACTTAAGCAGGCAAATTTCTCTCCACCACATAATTTACAGAACTCAAATTCAATAAAACATTACATGATGGTCCATTACTGTTATCAGTTTTGAATAATCCATCTTCATTTTTTATTTTACTGGAAAATAAAGTATGCCAAAGACAAGAGGAGGAGGGAGAAAGAGAAAAAAGCCATACAGAGGGATCAGTTAAACACTTACATTTTATTTGTGGGGAGGGGGCATTAAAGAATGCATTTTCTTGTATTACAAACTTTAAATAGCAGTATTACAGAGAGGTGTACTGGAAAGTGTAAGTCTAGCTTTGGCAATTACTTTTTGCCATAGGTTTCCATTAAAAAGACATCAAGTAGGCATAACTGAATGAATGACATATGCTAAAAGCTGGAATCTTCAATAGCTATTAAAGAGCACATGTCCATCAACTCAGAAAGGTGAAAATTCCTTAAAACAAGTAATTATATAAGTTTTCAGTAAAGGTAGACTTTTAAAAAAGTCATGTGTAAAAATCTAAGAGAGGTTTGTGTTTTAATTTAGGAAACCCTACTAAGATGAGCAAAAAATTCTCAAGAATTGAAACATGAAATCCAGATTTTCAAGTTATTCTGAGCTGTCAATGACTAAAACAATTCTCAGTTCAAAACTATACTGTTATAATAATGCTTAGCATACTGTTTATAGGGTATGTCTTTATCCAACTGTATCATATAACTGTTCTTATATACATACTTTACATTAATTGTTTAAAACGTGGAGTTGGAATTGCATATTGTAATAAGTACACACAAATGTGTGATGTGCAGTTTAACTCTGCAGAGCTCCTTGTCTATACATATGCATTAGCATGTGTATTTTCGTACTCCACACTCACCATACTTTCACTCTGCACCTGCTTTTATTGAAATGCATACACTCTGAAATAAACACACTACATGCATTCATATGAATGTATAATCATTAAATGCAGCTGTGTGTGCGTGATTTTTAAGTATGACCGCTGAAAATACATACATGCTTGCGTGTGCAAAAGCTAGTCATCAGCCAGTGAACATTTAAATATACATATAAAATCACTCCTATTTAAATCAAACAGCTTCAAATAGGCCCCAGTGTCTACTTCTACTAAGAAGCATCAATTATCAATATAAAGATTTATAGTCAAACCCCTTTATAGCCCAGGCCCCCAAATAATTTTTTGGTAGTAATTTTTTCTAAATCGACTGTTTAAACAGTGGTTCCTGTATGAAGCTATACCCGGTTTTCATTCTTTTATCATCCTCAAGAATGTATTTAATGGTCAACTACAGAGATACCTATCTTTTCAAGGAGATTAAGTTGGTATAAAAGGAGAAAAATTCTACCTTTCCTCCAGTAATAAATCTTATAGACATATGTGACATTTTTCAGTGTAAGAACCAAAAGCATAAACAGTGGGCGGGAGCCCAGGAAAACGTCAGTGATGGTGGTCATCGGCCTTCTTCAGCTCGGCTCGGTCCTGAGGCACTCAGCACAACATAAGAGGCACTTTCCACAGTGCTGTGAGCTTAGCTGCTCAAGTTTTACAACACTTATCAATAAATCTATAATTTGTGTCTACGGCAATGTTGTCTTTGTCTGTGGGTTTTTAATTGAATTCAACAAGCATTATTGTACTTTTATGGAGAGTCCTATTTTTGCCCAGGACTGAGAATTACTAGTACTGTGTTTACAAAAAAAAGAATGTTACCAGAAACAGGAATATTTAGAAAGCCGATTTTGGATTTATTTTTTAAAAAATGATTGTCCCTACCTAAAATTAAACGTCATATTAAAATTACTAGCTAATAATGAACAGCTTTAAGCTGTAAAAATATGAAACTAAGTAAAAACTCAGGACTATAAAAGGTCTATCGCATTGACCTGAGATACAATATACTTATATATATATAATATACATACTCACATATGTACATATACACACACATATATTATACACACACGTATATATATATATAATACACACACACACACACACACACATATGTATTTGAGACAACTGAAAGAAAACCCCACTTTTGTTCACTTTCCTAACTCCCAATCTAGAGAGGCAACCAAAAATTAGACACAGTTAGGGTTCTCCTAAGTATGGAAACTGCCAATAAGGAATTAATACTAAATAATCTCTATACTAGAATTTTATTCTTATAATCATAAGACAACTTAAAATGCAAGAAAAATTCAGTCAGGAAAATAATAAAAAATAACCTCACCAAAGAAAGAACAGCTAAAGGTTAAAAGAAAAAAGGTCTTCAAGCTCATCAAAATTACATGTTCTTCTCATTTTTTAGTGTGCCTTGGCCAACGATAAACATACATATGATGTTGATATCCAAACAAATAAAAAAACCTTTTCATTTACAGTTTAATAGAGTCAATTTGCCTAGAGCTTCTCAAAAACCGTTCATCTTGTGACTTCTCAGATCATAGATCATTTTTTCTCCATGTCCTCTAAGTACCATCCATGGATATAAATATTAAGAGATTTACACATATCTCAATAGGAAGTCTAAAGATGGGTCTGTAAAGCAAGGCCAGCAAACCAAATCTGCTTCATGGCCTGTTTTGCAGATAGACTGCCTTTTTGTGTATTGTTTATGGCTGCTCATCCTACAATGCAATAGAGCTTTTATGGCCCTCAAAGCCTAAAATATTTACTATCTGGCCCCTTACTACAGGCAAAAGTGTGCTGATCTCTGGTCTAAAGAATAATTTGGAAGAACATTAATAACAACATGAAAGAGAAGACAAAGCTAAGCAACATTTTATGTTAATAAGCATTTCTTTAAATGACTGCTTATATGTAAATACCAGTAAATTGTTATTGAGTTCCAAGGAGTCAAAAATAATGTTATTAAAAAAAACTTTTAACAAAGCACATCTACACACTTAAGTTTGCTATCAGTGGAAATGGAAAATACACTAAGCTTGAAGCCTAGGATCTTATCCAAGGCCTTGACCAACTCACGATGCTTTTTTCAATCTTCTATTACTAACAGTTTAAGATTCTATCATACAAGAATATGGGTAATGCCCGTGTGAGATGTTTTCATACTTAATTTCTTCTTGCAAGTCCTCTGTCTTGGGATAAATCTGTACACAGGCATCCTTTGAGAGAGGAGATCTATTATAGGGAGACGGAGTTAAAAAATTTAGGTTCTACCAGAATAAGCAATATGATCATGTCAAGAGAAAAGTGAAACGTTAGCAGAGTCAAAGAATAAACATGAGCCTAGACGGAACTGAAGAAAGTAAGGCAGGGGAAGGAAGAGAGAGCAAAACAGTTTACAAACAGAGCAAAACTGACCTGAGTTCTGTTAAATGCCACACGTGCAAACACTGCCTGGGAGATTCCTGCTCGTTTTAGTTCATCACGCACCCACTGGTAGATTTCGGAAGACACCTCTGTGTTGGTTGAAACCTGTTGCTCCAAAGGCTTATTCATAGATCTACTGACAGGGGGAGGATGGTTCAAGTATTGTTGGTTTAAGGACTGCTGGGCTAAGAGTCTGTTCACTGCATACTGCTGGTTCAGCAGCTGCGCCATCACCAACTGCTGGTTGACCAACTGAGGACTGATAGGTGTTGATACAAGCCCAGGATGCAGGTTCGGAAGAGGGGTGCGGACAGAAGGCTGGCTGCCATGGGAGAGCTGTGCTGGGGACGGAGGCTGCTCAGCTGTGTTCCCGGGGACTGGCTGCTGGCCAAAGTTGACGTGGTTGGCCCCTTGCTGGGATAGTTCAGAGAGACTATCCATCTCAACTGAAGGGGACAGAAAGCAAAATCATGTTCAGTCATCACCGGTGGGCACCGACAGAGCTTTTGGATCATTTCCTAAATAAAAAAGGACAGTAGACACAGGGCACGCTGAAGAGCCAAAGAAATCAAGAAAATTTCAAGATGGAACTTACCGGACTATAGTTTTATTTTCTTCTTCTTAACAATTCCACAGTCTTTCAAAGTGGGGCAACACTCCAGATCTCAGTTTTTAAAATGTAGTTAGATGAAGGGATAAAATCTACTCTATCCAAATTGTTTCTGTGAGTAGCTACAGCGCCAAACTGTTACTCATTTTCACTTATGGCTTCAAGTAAGTTTCTATAAGCAATGATTTACTTTAAAATGGCTTGTAGAAAAATTTCACTTGCTTAAACGCTTATCATGAGCTCAGAAGTATGTGAAAAGGAAAATAAATTTATAAACATTTTCTCCTGATATATATTAACTTCAGTAATTTAGTCAGAAAGTGTGACAGAAAAAAGATGACCTAAAATATTACCTACATTCCATTTTTACATAGCAGACAATACAAAGACACAGTCTATAGAATGAAGATATCGTAAAACTGGGCTTAAAAACAACCAAGTGTTACAACTGAATGTCAAGCTGAGTATCTTACACAGCTTGTTCAAGTTTAACCATCATGGACAATAGATATTTCTGCAAACAGCATTTGTTTGAAGGAAAGCAAGTGATTTATTGTATAGTAAGATAGTATATCCTGTTAAAACCCAATTTTTTTTTTTTTTTTACTTTTTTTGTTTTTTAAATATATTTTATCGGTACCGGGGATCAAACTCACGACTGCCTGCTTGTAAGGCAGGTGCTTATGCCGCTGAGCTAAATCCCCAGCCCCAAAACCCAATTTTTTTTTCAAGAAGCCAATGCTGATAGCGGGGCATGGTGATGCACAGCTATAATCCTAGCACTTGGGAGACTGAGGCAGGAGGATCACAGTGAGTTCCAGGCCAGCCTGGGATAAATGGTAAGTTCAGATGCTAAAGGCAATCTTGCAAGGAAGGAGCAAGGGGGTCATTTCCCTGTTAACAGTGATACTGTTACTATTTTGCAATGTATTTCCACTAACCCGGGATGAATGCTTCTTCTTCAGCTAGGTCGCTTACATGGATTGGCAAAAGTCAGGTCTAAGTGTGTTAAATACTTGTTACACAGAGGGACACTAGTTTGATGTTCTTGACTGAAAAGGCTAAGCATTTGAACAGGTAAACCTTTTCAAATTTACACCACAGTTCCCATGTATAGATTATTTTGATTTTAATCATCATTTCTCTTGTCATTAAATATGCAGGTTTTACATTTAGAGGAACGTACCATATTGCTATAGTCACTGACAGATGCAAAATATAAGTAAGAATTGAAGTAGGAAACCTTTAATTTCTACCAGTGATATCAGCCCAAGTGGGCCATTCACAGAGAATAGTAATTCAAGCAATTATTCCAAAAATGATGCATAGTCTTCATTATAGCTCTAAGCTATAAAAGGCAAAGAATCTGTTTTGGTAGATAGATAGCTTTTCTTCAAATATTAAAAGCTAAAGCATGCTCAAAATACAAGTTCCCTAGTCTCTTAAAATCTTTAGGAAATGTTATAGTTATTCCTATTAAATGAATGTAATAGAAATAAGAAATAGAATTAAACAAAGCATGTTATGTGTACTAAACATCCCATTCTTATATTATTTTAAAATATACACTTGGTACAACTATGTGGAAGAACTCATTAATAGAAATTAGAACATTAACGTTAACCATAGTGTTTGCTTTTGTGAGCACTAATAAACTTAGTATGGAGAAAATACCACAATCTAAATGCTTAGATACAGCACTCAGTCTTTATCTGTTATTTTACACTGCGGATAATTTTATCATATTTCTTGCACAACAAATACTGACTTAGCACTGCATGTCAAGATACGATGCAACATTGAAAAGTTTAGAAATTATGCAATGGTAAACCAATATGCTCACCAAAGTGCCTAATCTATGGGAGTGTGGAGGCTGGGACTACTGGATCTCAATTGTACAAACTATAAATACAGCTTAAGAACATTACTATTGGGGCTGGGGATTTAGCTCAGCGGCATAAGCACCTGCCTTGCAAGCAGGTGGTCGTGAGTTCGATCCCTGGTACCGGTAAAAAGGAAAAAGACAAAAAAAAAAAAAAAAAAAAAAAAAAAAAAAAAAAAAAAGAACATTACTATTTAGTTTCCTTAAAAAAAAAAAAAAAAGTTTAAAAACAGGTCCTGTTTCTTTCAAACAAAAACCAAAACCCTAAAAGCATATTCTACTTCTGAGAGAAATTACTGCTAATATTAGTCATTCAAGGCCTGGTTAGGTCTTCACTGAGACGTTAAAAAAAATGACAGCTCCTTTCCTCACGCCTCGATTTCCTGCATGTCTGACAACCAAGTCAGTTTGGTTGATTTAAACACAAACATTTATTGAATTTAATTATCTCATTATACTCATATCCCACTCCCTACCCTCAAAGAAACATTCTAAATTGATCTCTAATTGGGCAATCAAAAGACCTGGTTTAAGATGTGACTTTGATAAACCCCCAAATGACAAGTAATGGTATGTAGTTTCCACCGCAATGATTTTTTTGCTTACCCATCATATCTTTTGTCTTCTTGAAATGTTTGTACCACCTTCCAAATTCTTGACATTTTGCTGCTGAGACATTTGCATAGTAAGTGCTGTTCACAATGGAAGAAATCATACTCTGCGTGAAGAGGGGGAGAACATTTGTAACACACAGCATCACAAGATAAAACACAGAAATAATTTCAGTTGTGCAAACTGTTTTTAATCAAACTGATGACCAATGCATTTTTGTTTCATACTTCAGCTTAACACTTCAACTTCTTACAAATTCATTGAGTATACCAACAAATGCTTATTTAAGTACCAGGCCAACAGCCCACTGAGACCAGTAGAAAGCAATCAAACTCACAGACTTTCACCTTCCATTACTTATCCAATCTCCACCAAAATCATCTATTCCTATCCTGATATAATTCACAGATCCCAAGAAATCAAATGCATGAAGACATTAGAAAAGCAATTAGAAAATCCTTTGAGGACTAGTGACTGGGCTGTACATCCATACTACTTTAAATATTATGTTCCAGGAATCAACAATATGGGTATCAACCAAGGAGCTTGCTAGAAATGCAGGATTTGAGGCCTTACCTCAGACCTCTAACAATCAGCACTTGTATTTTACCAAGATCCAGGAGATCTAATTCACGTGCATTTAAAATTTGAGAAATACCACTTACACTTTCCTTTTATTATTAGGATTTCAACTGGAGGAGTGCTAACACTACTCAAAGTTTAACTGATCACATTTGAGAAGTAACAAAACTAATCACAGAGATCCTCTATCAGAAGAAAAAGGCATACTACAATCTAATTACTGAATTTACCTACAGTAAAGCTTGAGTTCTGGAATTTCAATTAGCTATTAAAAAATTTTAATATTTGTATTTCATATTTACTAAATTTGTCAAGGATATCACAAAAAAAGAAAATGAGTTATTATGTCACTTTGGCTTTAAATAAAAGCCTGGAAATATTCAATTATTTAATACATAAAATAAAAATGATTTAATGTATAAATAAGAGAAATAAAAATAAAAACCCCAATAAAGAAAAATGTTTCAATAAATAAGAGTGTTCTCTTCCCAGAAAAGTTTGGTTTTGGTGCTTTCAGTGACTTAATACTTAGTTCTTTTATATCATACTATGCATATTCTTTAGTAACAGCTAAATTAATCTCCTATTGAGTCTTAGGAATGAGACTATTATCACCAAGCTCTCCCTTGTCCTCAGGAGGAGAAACACAAGAAGATACGGTTCAGACTTCAGTTCTTCTATGAGGAAATAGTTTATAGAAGGCAGCATTGTTCAAGAGCAGTGAACAACCAGAAAAGCCAGTTTGGGGGACAAAGGTATTTTATATCATTATCTCTGTCAAGCTGCTCCTAATGGAAAGCTCTTTGGCTGTTACTAACTCTCCTGACATCCATATCAGTGTTAATTTTGCAGCATGCACACATTTCTGCAATGTGTAAATTTGGGAGATCTAAAGAATTTGGAGTAATGAATAAGCTTAAGTTGCATTATTTATGTAAAATACAGCTATCTCTGCTAAGAGGCACTGTGATGGTTTTTTTTTGACACTTTCTACTTTATAGTCATTTTCACATTTTATTCTTAATGTGCTGGTGATACTCGGCCATTAATCCAATAATTCATAATTTCACTAAGAGCCTCCCATAGTCCACAGTGCAAAAAGACATTTAGCAAGGTTGCCAAAACCAGAGCCAGAAGATTACCTGATCCAGTTAACAATCGGTCAACTTCAATCTCACTTACTCTTGTAATGATGGATCAATAAAGTCAGACACTAATAAAACTACTGAGCTCACTGATGGATAACAGTGATTCTGCAAATGGATGACAGGCAATGTTCTTCCACTTTGGTACAATTTTTTAAAAAATTATTACTCTTTACCAAGACATCCTGACAATTTCTTATATATTAATATAATAGAACATAGATGTGTGAGACATAGTTTATGTCTCGCTTTTTAGAAATGCATGGAATATCTAAATTTTGCTGAGGGTTTTGACAAACATCCAGTCTACTTCAGTTTGCCAATAGTTCTATACTATGAAATTTACTCTTAGATGCAGACCTATATTACATATACCACTGGTATTAAGGATACAAAGATGGATAAGACAAAGTCTTTGCTACAAGATGCTTACCATTTATTAGGAAAACAGATAGTGTAAACAAACCATCCTGATATGATTCATTCTATCAACCATGAAGATATACAGGAGGAAAAAAAAATGAATCTATAGTGTATGTGAAAAAAACTCTGGAATATTTTTATAAAACTAAAGCCCATATGTAACAGTGCTATGTAGTTCATTACTATCCATATGTGGAAAATAATATCCATCTGTGCATCACTGTCAAAGCTTCCCTTGCCCTTGCTTAACCCTAAAGTGGTAGCTGTATGTGTCAAGTGGTTTTTCTGAGTGCTGTCTACTCTGTCAAGTAGTAGGTGCTTGGTGAACTGATTACCATAAATATTAGCCTAAGCAAAACATGATTAAAAGGCTAATTCACAGGTAATACAGCACACCTCAAAGAAAACTTTCACCACTGCAACCATTTTGCACTGTTAAACAGGGCACAACTTCATAATTTAGAGAATTTGGGATCAACTCTATTTTATTGACACAATATACATAAATACATCTAATTAAATTTATCATATACCCACTTTATGGAATTTTCTTTTTCTTCTGGTAAAGTCCCTATTGTAGGCTTAGATACTACATAAAAAGTAGATTAGTGACTTTTGATGGCAGAAGAGAAATTACAAAATCATATGGTACATACACATGTCATTTGAAATATCATAATCCATACTGTAATCTTAAATTCAAAAAAATCAGAAACACTTACTGCACTGATACAACTAACAGAAAGTCAACACTGGTAATATTTTTCTGGGTGATAGGGATGTACAGAGTTGGTCAAGTTCTGTGTCTTCAATAAAAAAGACTCAGGATTCATTTTTTTGTTTTATTTTTAGGCTTGGGATCCACATCAGTTAAAAGGAGACACTGGTTTTAAAATATTGTGTAAAGCAAAAAATTCACATAGGACTGATGCTCCATGTTATTTCCCACCCCAGCACCTGGCATGCATTAAATACACACTGAACCTGCACCTGATGAAATGGAATAGGAATAAACCTGTATTCAAATGCAAGGTGTGTCAGACACTAGAAATAGGATCTTGAGTCAATTAACTGACCACAATTTTCCATATTAAACCAGAGTAATAGGAGCACTCAGATTAAGGTGTTTTTTTTTTTTTAAATTCATTCACTGAGAGAACCCCTTCCCCATTTCACGTATATTTACTGAACTCCTTTTATATGTCAACCGTGGGTCAAGTTACTAGAAAATAACAGCTTGAAGAGACACAAAATAAAACAGAAGTGATACAAGTAGGACACAGAGCCTAGAAGACAGATATCAAATATGAACTTATGCTATAAATTACTATGACAACCCTTATGCCTACTCCTCCTCAGTGGCTTTTTATTACATGATTATATAGATCAGTCAACTATAAATAATGGAAAGGTATCAGATAAAATGCTGAAAATGATTGAAGTCACATTTTCTTAAGGCAGGGTGAATAATGTACTATTTTTAAGCATAAAAAGGGGAAGTATCTCCATTTCGGCCAACATTCTGATCTGTGGTATTTTCTGAAGCTGGCCAGTCTGGTGGCTAACATCAAGTCTGCACACAGCACACCTGCAGTGGAGTCCTGTGCTCACTTCCATCTCAGGTTAGCAGCTGTCTACCCTTCAAGATACAGCTCAAGACTCTGCTTCTGTAGGGCCTTTCTTGACTTGCCAAACATCCTATGCACACTGCCTCCATTTCACTTACCAGACTTATCACAACCCAAACCTTAAATCTTATCTTGGTACAGCCTGGACTCACCACAGTGTTGGGCACAATCAGATGATCCATAAAGGACCAGTGAAATAACTACTGCAGGCCACCAACACATCTCTTCCCTTTTTCTTTCCTTAAACATCACAGACAATGGCAGTTGAATCATTACATAAACCTTTAAAATCCACCACTTTTAGCTATCACAAAAGAAATCATAGTTTCAAAAACCTTTGTTCACTAATTTGCAAGAGATCCCTTCCCAGGTTTTTCAAAATACATCCAAACAGATGTCTCGGAAGTTGCAGTGCTCAGTGGTTAAGTCATTCCAGTTCTCTCTTGGTATCTATTTATATGAGCTCTTCAAATCACTTTGAAAAAAGACACAACTTGTATGGCAAGTTTTTTGCTCAGTAACCAGTACGTATAAAAACACCAGTGTTCTGAGAATAAAATAATCCAACTGACAAAACCTAAGAAGCAGAAATCCCAAGTTCAAATGCCACAAAGTACACCAATGAATAAACAGGCTGTGACTTCCAGTGTGGGAAAATACAATGTGAAAGTTGGCAGAAATTGGCTGTGGGTCTCATAACCTCAGTGTGACACAATATTCTCATCATAGGAGCCAAGTTGTAAGCTTTTCTAAGATCCATAAAGCACATGTCTACTCCCCATGAGGAGCTTCAGTTCTTTCTGTGTCTGCTGAAGTTCCGATCTGAAAGAATGCCATCTTCACAGAAACCCCAGTCCTCTAGAATGATACCATCTGCCACAGGCTGAGCTTCCTTTTCAGCCAAATACATTATTTATAACCTTTCTAATTGTGAAAAGGTAAGGGTGGAATTTTTCTAAAGCCTGACTTACATATAGTTAGAACATTCAGAACCTTTGCACTAAAATACACAGGTTTCAGAATTTGAAAACAAAACAAACAACCACGTGGAATTCACTGAAGTTACATAATTTTTCTGAATGTTATATTTTCCAACCTCTGCCATGATATCATAGACTCTGTAAGTAGATATGTCTAACACAAAAGGAAAGGACGTAGTTTTTTTTTTTTTTAACATGATCACCTTAATAGTTATTGAAATCGGCTCTGGAGAAGTGAGGCTTTCTCAAAAAAAGATTCATCACTAGGGAAAGGCAGTGATCTGATTACTCTTAAAATTGCTTTGTTGTGCCTTTAACAACAACCAAAAAAACCCACCCCAAAACAAT